AGTTCAAACTCGGGCTCGGCCACTGCCTAGTTTGGCGACCTGGTCGCTTTAGCTTTTTGAGCCTCACTTTCAGCCATCTGTAAAATGAGGATATTGAAATCCACCCCAAGGTATTATAATGAAAATTAAACCTTATGACGTATGTAAAGTGGCCAGCCCAGAGAGCGCTCAATAGATGTGAATTATTACTACTGTTATTATAGCAAATAGTAGGTATTAGCACCAGAGGAATATTTAATCACGTAGAGTCAAGTCAGTTGGCTGAAGTCCCAGTGGTTCCAGTTCCAAACGCTCACTGCCAACCTTTGCAGTTCCAAGTACCTCTAGCTCACAATGTCTCAACCTCAATACTGCCGACATTCGGGGCTGAATAATTCTTTGTCACAGGGGGAAAGTAGGGGGGGTTGACCTTAGCACTGTAGAGATTCTAGAAACATCCCTAACCACTGGCCACTAGAGGCCAGTAGCGCTCCCTGTGCTGTGACTATAAACATGTCTCCACACATTGCCAAGTATTTCCTGGAGGGGAAGATGGCCCCACAACCATCTATGCAGTCTCCCTGTGGCCTCTAGCTGGAACTGCTCTCTTCTTTTCCTGAGGTCTTCGAGATGGAAATTTGCATGAAACCACACGGCTTCCTAGTCTCTAATTATATCATGTTACTGAATCTTATCATCTAAATAAAATTGTAAAAGGTTCCTGATGGCAGGAAATTGTTTTTCTATGGTTTCCTCCAAAGATTCTTACATAGAACAGACAAGTAGGGACTCAGTCAAGGTACATTTTTTTTCTGCTCTTTTTTTTTTCATTCATTCACTCAAAAAGCATCAGTTGAGTGCCTTTATGAACCAAGCACTTTATTAGGAGCTGGACATATAGGAAAAGGAGACACAGTCCCTTCCCTTGAGGAGCTCACAAGTCTAGGTGAAAGAGGTGGGACTAGTATGGTGTGATTTGCTGCCATAAAGGCAGTAAAGAAGAGGAGCCCTTAACTCACACTGGGAGAGGCAAAGAAGGCTGTCCTGAGGAGGCAACTTTTGAGTTGGGTTTTGAAGGATGAATAGGAGTTAGTGAGATTGGGGGCTCTGATTGAAGATAACTAGAAATGTGTTAGATGTCTCTGTAGTATGAGTTTAATGACTATGCTTTACAGACCTTTGGCTCTTTTGAACAGACGATGTCCTTTTCTTAAATCTCCTTGATCCAGAAAGCTAATTGAAAGAGAACTGTTCTGTGAAACTGGAGTGAGTGTGTATGCACAAGCGTGTACACAATAATGACACCAGAGGAGGGAGTTTGCTAGCATTTGCTGGCCCTGCTCCCCTTCTCCACATAGAAATGCTCCTAAATTAAGAGAAAAGACTATATTACTGTGGCTGTTGGTTTTGATTGACTGCTTTGGGCTTTGAGGTTGACTTATCTATCATGATTGATCAGTTGGGAGACCTTGGGGGATAATCAAAAGATATGTCATCAGATTATTTTATTCCTTTTGGGAGCATCGTCTTAAAATAAAACTCGATGTTTAATTCATCGTGTCAAGTTTTCACCTTAATTGATTTTGTCAAGCGAAAATATTTAGTTTCTGTCAAATTTGGAGTGTGGGGGAAGGAGTGATCTGGAATACAGAGCAAGTTCCAACCTTTACATCTTTTGACTTCAGGGAGCCTGGAGTTTATGCAAGGAGGCCTAAACTTTGAAAGAATCAGTTCCCAGGGGCGCCTGGGTGGCTCAGTCATTAAGCGTCTGCCTTCGGCTCAGGTCACGATCCCAGGGTCCTGGGATCAAGCCCCTCACTGGGCTCCCTGCTCAGCGGGAAGCCTGCTTCGCCCTCTCCCGCTCCCCCTGCTTGTGTTCCCTCTCTCGCTGTCTCTCTCTGTGAAATAAATAAATAAAATCTTTAAAAAAAAAGAATCAGCTCCCATTTTACATGTTTTACGAGAGACCATCCCATGAAGTAATGATGGCTAAAAACAAACAAAACAAACCCCCCCAAAACTCACTTAGCTTCTCTAGGATCTCCTCGTCCGTCATCTTGGATTTTTTCCTTTGCCGATCTGTGTTTCTATACAAAGTGCTGGAGTTGGCATTCTCAGCAGAAGGTGGTGTGACCTCTTTATTTGGTACTGCCGGTGAAGCAATGGATTCCAGCACAGAACGAGTGTAGATCTTAAAGATAAGAAAACAAGTTCTACGATAAAAACAGTAGGCCAAGTGAAGGGTATGAAGTCAAGATGCTGTCATGTCAATGAGGTTTTATTTTTTTTTTTCATTAAGACAAAATTTTAGAGCAGTTTTTGGTTCACAGTCAAGTTGAGAGGAAGGTACAGATTTCCCATCTACCCCCGTGCCCACACATCATAGCTTCCCCCATTGTCAACACTCCCCCGCCCAGAGTGGGACATTCACTACAACTGATGAACCTACACTGATGCATCATAATCACCCAAAGTCCATAGTTTACATACTGTTCTCTCTTAGGGTATACATTCTATAGGTTTGGACAAATGTATAATGACATGTATCTGCCATGATGGCAGTGACATTTTTGTCACTACCCTAAAAATCCTCTGTGCTCTGCCTATCCATCGCTTCTCCACACCCCAACCCCTACCCCCGATAAGTTTTTAAAGTCAAGTGATTAATTAAATATGAAACAAGAACTTCAAGTTGCTTCAAATATACTGTCCTTGAAAGCTCTCAGGACTCTGTCTTCTGAGGTCCCCATACATGCTGTGCTAATTCTGGTCTTGGTGCCTCTGCTTAGGCACTTCTTCCTACTTGATTCACATGGATTTCCTTCTCTAATTTAACTTCTGCAGTGATCTTATAACTTAGCACTTATTTGTATGTCGTTTGATATCATTCTCTAATTGTCATGTACTATCTCGTATCCTCAAAGAGCAACCTCAACCAAGGTTGTACCTGATATTCTAGATCAGGGAACACAGTAAATACTCAATAGGTAGGAGCTGATTAACTAGATTCTGACTCTACAATGGTTTCAGAGGACATCTTTTGAATCATTTAGGAATAGTCATTTGCAACTTACTGATTTAGTATGCTCGGGTCTTGGCGCAATAACTGGGGGGGGCTCATTGTCATCTTCTTCTTCTTCCTCTTCTTCCTCCTCTTCTTCAGACACAGGTGGAGCCAAAGGAGGCTCTGATGCTGTTTTTGTACTCTTATGACAAAAACAAAGTTTAGAGACCAGGTATTAACTCCCCGTTGTTTTTCTTCAGAAATGAGAAAAGGGAAATGAAATATTTAATCACATAGGGATATGAAAAAAACCACACCTTTTACAAATGAGCAGAGCCATCTACAATATGGTGACCAGGACTGCCCACATTCAGAGGTAAATTCAGGCCATGGTTTTAAACATCATGAAATTTTTTTTAAAATCTTTTTATTTTCCACTGAGCTCAGAAGCAGTGAGCTATTCAATATTTGAAATGTTCAATGTTTTTTAAATCAATGAATAATATATTTTTAAAATGCTACTAGAGCCTTCAATTTGTACTGGGCAGATTGTCAATTTGCTGATTGATAGTCTGTCAACCAGAAAAGGGCTATTTTGTGCCTAAAGATCAGAGCATGCATATGGATATGGTAATAATACAGCTCTGCAAATACTCACTAAGTACAAGCAAGCCCATAAATGTTGCTTCCCTGTTCAGCCTCCTGGAAAGAAGCACTCAGAAAGTAACAGACATGAAGATCTAAGGAATATTCATCAACATAAATAATTATTCAGTCTTAACCAACAGGTATAAATGGTGATTTGCAATATTAAAAACTGCAATAACACCACCACCACCAAAAATAACAACAATTGTTGTATCTAGGATCGGTTCTTGATCATTCATATTAATTCAGGGGTAAAAATGGTTCCCCCAAAGCTGAATTTTGAAAGCCCTTTGGCCATGGTTCTCAAAGTTTGGTCCCCAGACCAGCATCATCACCAGGAATTTGTTAGAAATGCACATTCTTGGGCTCTATCCACACTAATGAATCATAACTCTGGGAGTGGGCCTAATAGTGTGTTAATGACAAGCCTTTCAGGTGATTCTGGTTCAGGCTCAAGTTTAAAAATCACTGAATGATGATAGAGGTCTATGCTGTCCATGGTTAATGAATAGTTACAATGTGGCTAGTCTGAATTGAGGTGGGTTGTAAGTGTAAAATATGTATCGCATGTTGAATATGTAACATGAAAAAAATTGTAAAATAGTTCCTTGGTGAAAGACATTTCCTTTTATGTTGTGTATATGTTAAAATGATAATATTTTTTTTTAAAGATTTTATTTATTTATTCATGAGAGACAGAGACAGAGAGAGAGAAGCAGAGGGAGAAGCAGGCTCCCAAGGAGCAGGGAGCCCAATGCGGGACTCGATCCCAGGACTCCGGGATCATGACCTGAGCTGAAGGCAGACGCTTAACCGTCTGAGCCACCCAGGCGCCCCAAAATGATAATATTTTGAATACATTGGGTTAAGTAAAATATCATTAAAATTAATTTCACCTATTTCTTTTTACTTTTTCTCAATGTGGCTACTAGAAAATTTAAAGTTACATATATGGCTTTTATGACATTCATTTCTATTGGAAAGCACGATTATAGATGATTTTTTATTTTGTGTGTGTGTGTGTGTGGGTGTGTGTGTGTGTATTGGTTTTTTGTTGATGTCTTTGGGTATACAGGCTCAAGCTAATCCTAAAAAGAATTTTTACTTCTCGAGGACAAAGCTCCTGAGGTAGATACAGGGAGCTCTACTAATAGACATATTATATCAAAGGACCTCAACCTATGAATAAAATTCAACACAGATCTTCTACAATCATGTATAAACCAATGGTAGAGCTATAAGGTGCAATCATAGATCTGAGCGGAGACAGCAAGATTTATCTACTGTGCAAAGGAAGACAACTTAGAATTTATAAAAGAGTATTTGAAAGAACATTTGCTTGCCCTGATACACATACTGAGTGGTTTACAGACTAAAATTCATATACTTAGTTGATATTGGTTTTCTTATTTATACACCTATATTTATTCTTAATTTGGCCAAAATAGCTAAGCTATGATATTGTACTGTGGCTGTGTGGAAAGTGACATGTGTTAATGACATTAAGTTTTCAGGAAAAAAAAATTCAGTGGGCAAGCTTAGAAATTGTCTTTAGCTTACTGGTGTTTGCTTTGAGATTATTTTGTTTCAGAAAGTTCTGCTCTATCTTATGCCAGCTGGGATCAAGAATGCACCTAATCATTGTTCATTGGTAGGAAGGAGGGCAGAACCTGCGTATAAACTGACCACTTTTTATATGGCAAACAAAGCTCGCTTCTCTATTAGGCAATATGAACCATGCTTCAGAATAGTAAGCTTTCCATGGGCTTATGAAAATATCTGAAGTCAGAAATAAGTCATTGCCTCCAAAATGCGACAAAAACCTCTAAAATCTAAAGTCATTAATGTCTAATTACATGTCTACAAAGTATAACTACACGTCAACTTCACTTAGTGACTTATATTTAGTAGCTATAGAAATTTCATTACATTAAAAACCAAATTGTGGATTAGATCGTCTTCTTTAGCAACAGCTCCTGAGTATCATACTGACTTCCAATAAATGATACCTAACCAAAAATTCAGTGTTACTTGTAATCAAATAATTTCAAAATCGATATTTTAAAAAATCACTTTAAAAAGTTTACAGCAAAAAAATTAAGTGGGGTAGAGGAGCCCTTTAGTATATTTGGTACAACTCATCATGCAGCCTCCATAAATGAGAGTATATACAGCCTATGAGGATCTAAAAATTGCCCTGGTGGCAAATAAAATGGGCCTAGGTCTAGGCTCCCCAGACTGCTACAAAGACCAATCAGTACTACTGACCAAGCGGTAACCTTGCACATCTCAACAGTGGCTATTTCATTAAAGAACATCCGCCTGCAAAATCTCACTGTTTCTTAACATTCATTACTATCCTCACTCTTCTCATTTCATATGGAGACCCTCCCCACCTTCGATGATAGACTAAAGGACTGTTAGAAAACCTAAAGTCTTCCATCTTCTGAAGGTTTGTGGGGCAGGAGGAAGACCAATGTTTCTGTTTATCTGGGACCAGACACTATACTGTCATGTTGGCTGGTTGGTTGGAAAGAATGTGTGGCCTTCAGGGGACATTGTTTTTTTTTTTAAGATTTTATTTATTTATTTGACAGAGAGAGAGAGAGAGAGAGCATGTACAAGCAGGGGGAGCGGCAGGCAGAGGGAGAGGGAGAAGCAGGCTCCCCACCAAGCAGAGAACCCAGTGTGGGGCTTGATCCCAGGACCCTGGGATCATGACCTGAGCCGAAGGCAGATGCTTAACCGACTGAGCCACCCAGGGGCCCCAGGGGACATTATGTTTTGCAGGATGGTTGGGCCAGGGAACATTAGCTGACCTAGTAACACCAGGCGTTGGTCCTGAGAACTGAAATCAACATAATTTCCTGGCCCCATGTTAAGTAAGACCAGGACCAGGCATATTTTCCCATCCCTGTGTAATAATACTGGGGCTGGGCATACTTTCTTTTCCCTGTGTTAAACAGTATCAAGTGAGAGCATATTTTCCTGTTCTTATGTTAAACAATACTGAGAACAGGCAAAACTAGCAGCTTCTGACTTCAAGAAATGCTTGCTCTTGGAAGATAAGACTGAACCAACTGAAGTATTTTGCTTAGTAAGAATAACAGCTTGCTCACCAAGACTCTCTTGAAGACTCTCACTTCACCAACCAACCTAAAGCTATTTAATCACAAACACTGCACAATCCTAACCTGTTCCTTGCCTTGTAAGACTTGCTTTAAAATCACATAGCCATGGGGGCCTGGGGGGCTCAGTGGGTTAAGTGTCGGACTCTGGATTTCGGCTCAGGTCATGATCTCAGGGGCCTGAGACTGAGCCCC